TATATTTTGTCCACCTCCCAGCCATTTATAGTAATCTCTACAGGCAATAAACTCGCTTGATGTGCATTTTCAGCAATCTAACAAATAATTTTAATCAAAGGTTGGGAGATGGATAAAATATACAGGTTGATTAAATAATGTGCCTAGAATTAGGGAGTGAAAGGTAGTAAGTTGACCGATGCTGGAAAGTGGAGAAATTCTCCCCAGAACTGCACCTTTTTTGCATTACAGGATCTGCAGTCAAAGACTAATATATAAAAACATAACGCTACAGATCTGCAGCTAGTGACCATGTGACCCATGGGCCTCCATTTTATAGGTATTTCCTATTCTTAATTCATTACCAGTCGGAAATTAAACTACAGAATTAAATTAATGATGTAAATTAGGTTTGATAAAGGGGAGGGGGAGGATTTTTGGCACATAATTGGAACTTTTTAAATCTATTTTCTCATATAGATTAACAAGAAATAATGTGCAAAGTTTATTTATATTTGATTAGGCAGAAACTTCTTGAAAGCTGCCATATACACAATCAATGTAATAGTCAACCCCCACCCGTCTCCCATCAACACACACACACAAACACACCTTATTTGTCTCTTTTTGCAAAAAGGCCTAGATTGCAAAGCTAAAATAAAACATCTTTTGTAAATGATAATTTTCAATTTGTTCTTGCACTATACATGTATCTGAACACCTGCATCACATTGGGCTTGCGTCACGTACCTGACTTAAGTACTAGTTTTACCATTGGCATTATTATTTTAGATTTCACTGCACGTGCAGTAGGATACTTGTGTGCATATTTGCATATATGTCGGTAGGAATTATTTCATTTTGTGTTTTAACTGGATTATATTTCATGAAGATGACAGGGCCTAAATAATAACAATCGGTAAGTACAAGTTTTGTTATAGAGTTGGGTAAAATAGTCTGAAATGCAAACGGTTAGGTTAAAGTTTAAAGGATCAAAGGTCATCCGATGCTACAATAGACGAATTTCACATTCTGAAGAGTTATCCCCCGTTATCAACGTTACATTCAGTAACAAGATCCAGAATTTTTTTTTCTGGGAGGGACCGGGGGGGGGGGGGGGTTTCCAGACCAGAATTTCCTGAGAAGCAAGAAAAAAAAAGAAGTTATGGTTTGGTCTGTTTTCTAGGGTGGAGGGACACTTAGGGCATCCAAAGTCATTTTTATTTCCTCCAGTATATATTATCAGGTCTGGACGATTTCTAAATAAGGAAGTCAAGAACGATAACCGTGAATTGCTATTAATACACAGAATAAACAAGGCACTAATCCTTCTGACCAATCAGATAACAGCATTTAGACAAACCCATGAGAGAATAAATAAAACACGTGGTTTTTAAGTTTTTTGCTCAAAAGATTTTTTTAGAACAAACTTTTTGTAAACTTTATGCGCATTTGGGAATAATATAATATTTATGACAATTCTACCGTGAACAAACACGACTTGAAAGCTTGGAATACGTTTTAAGTGGAAAAAAAATCTGTCTCTATACATGTAAGAGGTAGCAATCCCAAAAGTTTACTTACGTTAAAAAAATTATATAAATACGGTATACGGCCTGACATAAAAATCTTATTCAAAAGATAACAGTCTTTACCATTTTTGAGTGTTTATTACAGAATACTAGTAGTCCATGCAGTTTCATATTTGCGAGGTAAGATATTAGGATAAAACACATTCATGTAATTACAGGATTCTCTTTTGTCCACGTTAAACGCCTTTCCTTATGCCCATTTAAAGTCAGATAGCTAAGTATTCGGCGCTCATGAAACCCGTGATAATGCAAAACTATATGTGTATACTCCATACGATAAACACTTGTGTGAGTTGATCAATACACATGGAATTTAAGCATTTTCGATGAAAATCGGACGGCTGAGCAAAATTATATTTACCAGCATATAATATATTCTGGTAAATGTTATAATTGAACTTGATAAAATCTTGCTGGTACGATCTATACCTCTGTATAAACGATTACATTCTATCGTGCATTATTTTTTTTTTCTTTACCGAGATAAAAATGTCATGGTTGTTCACGGTAAAAATGTGGGGAATACCTTATTCTTCATAAGTTTTCATCTTACTTCTACAGATTTTTTGTTAAAAAAATCTTTTTGACCAAAAAAACAAAAGCACGTGTTATCTTTTTGTTCTTTTAAAATATGTTTTGGGGTGTGTAAAAATGCTGTTGTCAGCTGATTGGACAGAAAAATATCTACGTGTACTTGATGTACATTTATAGCAACTTTCGGTTATCGTTCTTGACTTCCATATTTAGAAATCGTCCAGACCTGATTATAGTCCTGCAAATTCCGGGGGAAAGGGGGGGGGGTGTTGAGGGGTCGATCTCCCAATCCACTTCCCTGTCCCTGTAATGACAAATGATCATGTGACTCCTAAAAAGTAGGAAACTTTTTCCTTTTGACTATACATAATATTGTTTCTTGTGTTATTATGTTATGTAAATTTAATGGTATAAAGGTTATGAACCCCTAGAGGTCATCCCCACTCTCCTAATGAGCTGGAAATGTTCACAATATGACTGCATTAAATTAAATAAAAGTGCATCAATGATAAGATTACTTGACATTTTATTCATGAATTTGTGTCAACATATCTTCCTAAGAATCATTCAGAGATGGATCACATTAAACTATTTGTATAAACATTTTTTTTTTGCATACATGAACAAACAGGGGTCTGGGAAGGGGTGAGGGGAAGGATCGAGTTAATATTTCTTTACGTCTTAATGGTTGAAAACTCCTAAAATGAATGTTGACCTCAAATCTAACTTGTCCTCATTATTTTTCAAATGGTGGTGTCTCCATATGAGTGAAAAATTCCTGAGAGGGATGTTTAACAACAAACAAAATGACATAAAAACACAATATTGATTTGCGTTAAGAAATATGCAGGGGATTTTTTCCATCATAAATCTTCTTCTCAAGAACAGCAAGGGCATTCTTGTCCCCCATTTTGGGGAAAGGGAGGCGACACTAAATGTCATTTGTCTGTCAGTCATATTTGACATGTACATAACTTGCAACAAAATGTTTCAGAGCATGCTATGAGTTTTCCCCTTTGACCCAATTTTCAAAAATTGATATATGATAGGGGTGCATATTTGACACACAATCTGCCATAAATTATGGTATTTCATTCACTAAAACACAGAAAGCAGAGTACCACAATTCTTTGAATTTGCTTGTATAATCTTGATAGATGGAAACATGCTCACATAATGTAGATTCAAGTTTTTTATGCCACACCATGATTAGGAATACATGTATAATTTTTGTCATGTCCGTCCTTCACCCTTCCATCTGTCTTTCCATCGCGCTCAAAGAAACTTTCTAGATATTTTTATCAAAAACTTCATATGTTGATGCATATACTGATGTAAATATCCAACTGCAGCAATATTTTTTGACTTTGACTTTTCCTTTGACCTTCATTTAACTTTTCTTTAAATTAGTGTTTAGCTTTATTTTAAAGAAACCATTCAAGTTGTGTTATGAAACTTCACATGATGATACATACTGATGTACGCTTTACGATGCTTCACTCTTATTTACCTTGACCTTTCATGTGACCTTGACCTCACTTTTCTAAAATTAATGTCTAGACCAGTTTTGAATAAACAATTCAAGATATATTTATCAAGCTTCATATGCTGATACATACTGCTAAGAGCTATTAATACGTCAACTTATTTTGACCTTGAATTTTCCATTGACCTTGACCTCACTTTTTAAAATATCATTTTTCGACCCCATTACTCCCCCCGGGGCAAAATCAACATTCCGAAACCTTACTGTACATCTACATGACACCACCAACCATCTCCCAAAAGATGATTAGGCTACTGTGTAAAATGTAAGAGGAGTTCAGGGAAGACGGGGCTTTTTGCATAAAACACGTCATTTTTCGACCCCCATTTGACCCCCCGGGGCAAAATCAAAATTCCGAAACCTTACTGCACATCTACATGACACCACCAACCATCTCCCAAAAGATGATTAGGCTACTGTGTAAAATGTAAGAGGAGTTCGGGGAAGACGGGGCTTTTTGCATAAAAAACGTCATTTTTCGACCCCAATTTAATCCCCCGGGGCAAAATCAAAGTTCCGAAACCTTACTGCACATCTACATGACACCACCAACCATCTCCCAAAAGATGATAAGGCTACTGTGTAAAATGTAAGAGGAGTTCAGGGAAGAAAAGTGTGACAGACCGACGGACGGACGGACAGACGGACGGACATGAGTAACAACAATATACTCGAACTTTCTTTAGAAAGTGCGGGTATAATAAAATTCAGAAAAGAATATTACAGAGTTATTCACAACAGGCAGATGAAAGTGAGTAGTTTGTGCTATTCAAGCGATCATCCATTCAGAGAGTGTCCTAAATTTGTTTGTTTTCGATGTAAAAAACAAGGGCATTACGCTAGAACCTGCACAGTGAAATGGTGTCCTAATTGTCTTGAATTGGGTGACGAGTGTTCGTGCGGGTTGAATGATAACGAATCAGACGCAGATGACAGGTCGTCAGAAGAGGTAAATAAGGAGGACGATCGCGAGAATAAAGACAAGGAGGCACAACAGAGGGAATCAGAAATAGAAATAACAGAATCGCAAGGAAACGAGACTGTTCGAGAGGATAGCTGAGAAACAAATGAAAAGATACGAGAGATGAATTAAAAATAAGTTCTTGCGTGAAGGAAAATGTGGAAAACGCTAATGAACCCTCTTGTACTGCAGGTGTTGCAAGTGATCATGAAAAATGGAACAGGTAGAAAACGGGGCAATTTATACAGAATCTGAGAGTTCCGAGTCTTCCGAACTGGATGAAGAGATCGTAGTCAAAGGGAAAACAAAGAGAAAGAAGAAAGCGAAGAAAGGAAAGGCTAAAAAGAATAGATAAAATGAATAAAATTATTCTTAATTCATTAATTACCTGTATTATGTTAGTTACTTCATTGAACTGTAATGGCTTATGTGATCTTGAGAAAAAATATATAAATATAAATTATTTAGTTTGTTTGTAAAAAAAAAAAAAAGAGATATGACATAATTGGTCTGCAAGGAACACACTGGAAGAATGAATTTATTGAAAGGTATAAACATTTATGGAATGGTGAAATTATTCAAAATGATTATGATAGATCTGCAAGAGGTGAAGCATTTTAATAAAAAATGATCTGAAAGAAAACGTTGAATTTGTTAAAGGTTTAGATGGAAGATTTTTGCATATTAGATATACAGAAAACGAAGAAATACTTGATATAGTTAATTTATATGCACCAAACACGGTCGCAGATAGATCATCATTTTTTAATTAAATTTCTGAATTAAGTAAACAAATCTTATGATATTGGGAGATTTTAAGAATACACTTGATGAAATAAATCGATGTGGGAAAACAGCTCATGTGTATCATATGAGTTATAAAGCATTGTTTGAATTAATGAATAAACACTTTGTAACTGATATATGGAGAAATAGAAATATGTCAGAGAAAGTTTTTTTTTTCTAGAAAGATGGTTGTTAAAAATACTCTTGTTCAAAGTAGAATAGACTATTCATTAGTATCTAAGTAACTTGGTTAGTATTCGAGATATTATTGATAAAGTAGAAATGGATAATTTAGAACGATACATTGTTAAAATTGATCAAGAGAAGGTTCTTGATAGAGATAGTCATGAATACTTATGTGATGTTTTAGATACATTTGTGTTTAAATCTTATTTCAAGAAGTGGGTAAAGATTTTTTTATCATGATATTTTAGTAGTGTTAAATGTAATGGGTTTTTGACAAATTATTTTCCTATCAAAAATTCAGTAAGACTAGGTTGTCCTATTTCTGCATTGGTATATGTTTCATCAGCAGAACCTTTGAATCATGCCATGAAATGCAATACAAATATAAAAGGGACTCCAATTCCAATGTCAGACAAGGTTGCGTTAATGTTTCAACATGCTGATGACACAACTATGGCGGTTTCAGATACAAATTCTGTTATAGAAGTTTTAAAAGTGTTTGAATTGTATGGAAATTCATCTGGTGCTAAATGTTCAAAAGTCTGAAATAATGTGTATAGGTTCAGGTTGTTTATCAAATGATGTAAAACTAACATTGAAATTTTAGAGACAAATATTATGAAAATAATGGCTGTTTGATGGTAAATGATATATATCTTAAAATGTTGTCATGTTGTAGACTTAAATTCTTTGCTAAATATTTATGTACATCGATATCTAAATATTTTGTGTGGAAATACATTTTCAAATATTTTTGTCTAGGGTATGTAATTTGAGAGCAAATTCGGAAATACTAATGCTAAGATTGTTTAATAAAGACTTTTTTAATTTTTACCTCAATATTACAAAGAACTTTTTAGTTCATGGCATGCTCTAGAAAAAAGTGTTGTTTATAAAGAGCAAGAAGATGATGTGTATAATTTCTGTTTATTTTATAATTTAAAAGTTCAATCAAATGGTAAAATATGAAAGTGGAATGATTTTATAAATGCAGGAATTAAACATGTAAAAGATATTTCGTACGAAGTTATACCGTTTTTTTTTTTTTTTACCTAGTTCTTATATTGTTGATATTATTCTAGAGAAAAATCCTGATGCAAATATTATGAAAATCAAGGAAAATTACAATATTCTTTTACAAAGTATGCCAATAGAATGGACAAAATATGTAAAAGAAAAAGAGTTCAAGAATGCTAGTTTTATGGCAGATTTTTTATTAATTATTAAAATCAAAATATAGTTTTAAGTACTTGTTCAACAAAAATGTTTTATAAATTGTTATTCAAAAACTTGTTTCAATATCCTGTTTCAAATACGTTTTGGAGAGAAAATTGAATTTACATGAATCTGATTCTTTTATTAATAGATGGATTGTCTTATGGGAGTCTTACAAACAACCTGAAATCATTGAATTAGATTTTAAATAATATCACAATGTAATATTTACTTATTAAAAATTGTTTAAAATTGGTAAAACTGAATCAAGTCTTTGTCCTATTTGTTTGTCAGAACTTGAAGATACAATACACCTGTTTATTGGCTGTAAGGAATTGCAGGATTTTAAAAACAATTTTGTTGTTTATCATTTAGAATTTATAATGAAAAATGTAGATGTTAGAATATTTTATACTTTAGAATTTGATTTTTTTTTCTTCATTGTCAAAGGGCGTAAAGAATGTTAATACTTTTTTTGTTAATTTCTTTTTATCTGTGTGTAGACTATGTATTTACAAAAGAAGACAAATTAATGTTTATTGACAGTCAACAAAAGTTGGATAAAACAAAATTTCGCAAATACACATTGAGACAGTTTATTTCATATAATTATTATCAATTGTGTGTCAATGAAAATAGAAAGGATGTATTCTCTGAATTGTTTTTATAAAAGAACCCTCTAGGAAAAGAAACAGAGGGGGTGTTATTATTTATTTTATAATATTTTTGTTTTGTTTTTCTACTACATTGTATCTCTGTCAGGTATGTTTTTAAACATATGAAATGTATATAATGATTATTATCAATAAAAGATAAAAAAAAAAAAGTACTGGATTGTAGACATAATGATCTTGAGTTCGAGTCTCACAGTGTGTGTTTCTGATCTATGCTTTTTTTTCTCTCTGTGCATTTTTCCTATGATTTCTTTTATTATTTTATAAAACATGTATAAATAATGTAAGAGACACATGTACAGTGTATATAATACAACATTACACCTTGAAAATATCTCGGGAAAAACAGTCCTAATGAAACTATTTTAATGACCCAAAGTTATAGCTGCTTCATGTAGCTTGTTTTATTTTCAAAATGTTCTAAAACAATGTTTGGAACAATAGTATTAAACGAGTAAAATTATTGTAATGTAACAAACTTGCAACAATGAAAATATACACTGGTCCAATAATGATTACATACATGTAGTTTGATTTTGAAATGAAAAGGTACATATATCTATAAATAGAAACAGGTAATTTCCATTTAAATACTTGAGTCGGTCGTGTCGTCGGTAAGGCAGCTATGGCTCTTTATAAAGGATTTGAGTCTCCTTTGTTCAATCTGTAAAATAACTTTTCCCCTAAATGAACACAGCGCACACTACGAGTATTTTGTATATTACGTAAATCACTGATGCATGAAAAACGTGTTTCGTAGCCCGTATATACATGTATTTTCTCTAATTGTCCGCTTTTTATAACATTGTAAGTGATTATGAAAAATTTGACACAAGATATTTTCAATAACAGTGTTTATAACACTATCCATTCTATTTCACACATATACTTATTTTTTCCGATTTCAAATTTTATATGGGTGCAATCTCTGTTCCCGAGAAACCTATCGAGATATGGGAAGTTAGGTCGAGTTATGTTCGTAAGTTGTCGGTGTTTTTCTTAATATTCCAAAAATACTGTATAGTAATACTCAAAGTGAACCACAAAAAGTGGTAAAGCATTAAATTTAAGTTGGCTCTGACAATTTGTATTCATATAAACAACAATCATCCCCCCTTCCCCAATAATTCAAAGTATACTAGAATTTTTGACCGGTGTACAGGAATCAAATAAAACTGTTTTTTCTTTTTTTATTTAAAAAACAAACAACGTTATTCAGTGAATATGGCGTTATGAATAGCAATTGCTCTGCTTGCATATGCCATGATGCGCGCTAGCGTATCGTGGAAAATATGCCAGCAGAGCTATTGCTCTTCATAATGCCATTTTCACTAAATAATCGTTGTTTATTGCTTATATTTGCATTCTTTGATTTTTTTCGAGAATATCAGAGGTAATCCTGACTTACATAAGGACGCGGCTTCTTGTCTTCAGAAATGAAAAACATGCGGCTTTAAAATCAGTAAACGTGATCAATGATCCTTTTCTCTAATAAATCACAAACTATTTATAAAGTATTTCACTCTCAAACACAGTTATCTCCATACAAGCATTGGCGTCATCACATTCTCTTAATTTGTTTTGACTCAGTTGTGACATCATCGATCAACGTTTTTGACAAAAATCAATAAATGAGAAAGCTTTTATACGGAAGCGTATTGCTGCCACAAAAAAATATTGTAAGTCTTACGTACGACACAGTAAGTCGTACGTACGAGATATTAAGTCGTATGAACGAGATACTATGTCTTACGTACGACATAATAAGTCATACGTACGACATAATAAGTCGTACGAACGACATAATAAGTCGTACGAACAACATAATAAGTCGTACGTACGACATAATAAGTCGTACGAACGAGATACTAAGTCGTACGTACGAGATACTACGTCGTACGAACGAGATAACATTAACCCCTTGTAGTCATGTGTACAAGATAATATGTTACTTATACGATATAATATGTAGGTATTCGGATTTCTTTATAATATCATGAATACGGGCGTGCCAATAGTTGTGCTTTTTTTGCTAAAATGGAAGAACCTAAATTTCATATACATATGTAACTTCCGTCTATTTAACAATCTATTTAAAAAAAAGGCAATTTTACATGTTGACTTAGAAGTCCAATCCAAAGAAGCCCCCGTCCACCCATCAAAGAATCTGATATTTTGATAGGTTCTTATCTCAGAAATATTATAAATAAAGCTTTTCAGGGGGTGCCGATGTGGGTGAAAAGTGCAAGAATCCCGAAAATGAAAAAATATTTCTTTAATTATATGGTTTATATTTATGTTTAATATCCTTTTAATTGGAAAAGCTCGGATGTTTTGAGACTGTTATTCAACATTTATACAGTGGCCTGGTTCGAATCACCTGTTGGCACATGTTTACTTCTATAAAAACAGGCTTGTGTATTTCACTTCATTTTCCTCTATAAATGAATTCTCTTTCTTTAGAGATAAACGACATTTATGAGAATGTAGACCAGAAATATTATTCTCTAAAGATTATTCCACAGTGTAAGCATTCATTGTTTAAGGACAAGAATTATTCATTCGTCCTCATGATGAAGGAGTCACACACAAACGCCCCCCCCCCCCAAAAAAAACACACAAAACATGAATGACATGCGATTGATCCTACAGTATACCCCCCCCCCCGCCCCCCGAAAAAAAAAACGAAAAAAAAACCAAGAAAATGCTTGAATAATCTAATACATTTAATCTCGGAATAGTTTCCAAGCGAATCAATTAAAATGAAATCGCAGAAGTAGTAAATTATGTGATGGATAGAAAATCTTCTAGATTTGATTTTAAGAAGATTTAAGATATTTTCTAAACTTGTGACATGATATTAAATCTTTTTCAAAGAAAAAAATTGTTTGTATCATCTGTTCTTAAGTGTAGTAAAGCATGTTCTGCACGAAAGTGATAGAGCAATTGCACTCATAGCAAAAGCAGTTACATCTAAAGTTCTATGAACGCAGTTGATGACTACATGTTCATAGTGGGAGAGAGCAGTGGATAGGCAAATATAATGTTTAAAATTGCATAATACAACTGTGCTTACTATGGGTTAGGGGACGGCCATTTGATTCAGAAAGGTTGTAGCAATTCTTTCGGAGTTAAGATTTTCATTGTAGTGAAAGAAGAATCATTTATTTCCAAGATGATCTGTAGGGCAGTAAAAACGATGTTCTTTCTACTTCACTGAGAGAAAAAAAAAACAATAAAGGGGAAATAGTCAAACTCTTTTTCTTTGGGGAGAGGGAGCTGATTTCCTGTACTATGTTACATGTAATGTAGATCTAGTCTTGTATATTTCACCATTTTTCACACATCAAAATCATTCTTTTACATTCAGGGAATAAACAGAGGTTAAGATTTGTATGTGCATTAAATAAACAGAAAAACAGTTGGTTTTATTTGTATTCCGAGTTATCTGTTGACAATATGTAAACAACTTCGAGCTAGTTTTATCCAATGATAATTTTATCTCTGACACTTAAATAGCTCACAATAATCAAAGGGAGATAATTCAAATTTAAATTGAATATCTGCTATTCGAATCAAAGATTTCTCATATTTATAGACTGAATACCACAAATTTTTAAAATGCCTTTTAAAGATAGATGTCGTATTTCTTTTTTCTGTGTGTAACATGAATTGAAATTGCCGCATACCATTAAAACACATTTCCAAATATTGCATTTTTTTCCAGAAAAAATTACTTTAGACACGGTTTTTATGGTAACTACCCAACTTTCATATGATCGAACAATATTTGTTGAAGTAGTTTATGATGTGATACTTTCAAGCCAAAATTGAAAAAAATCTGTGAATATGCGTGCAACAAAAGTTTAAGTGGTTATAGAAAGTGGGTATTAAATACCTTAAATATATAATAATATACCTTAAACAACTTTAACTTCTAAAAGCATTCCTGGATCATCCTTAGGTAGCTTTATGTCTTTAGAGATTTTGCTGTCAAACGTAAGGATCATAATATTTTTGTCCACAGAATCAGTTGTTGTTATTTCTGTTATTTCTTCTGCTGAGGGATTGTTGCATCTTCTTCATGAAAAATAAAGTATTATAAAGTATCATATTAAGAAACTGAATTCAGAAATCGTTATAAACATATGTCAATTATCGAAATTGAAAATTTCGAGAAAATAAGCGGGAAAACTTAAAAAGGTTCGCTCCTAAGCTCTTGAGAAGGTTTTTTTTTGTGTTAACCCGTTTTTGTTGTAGTTTAATTTAAAAAAATACAAAATTTTTTAGTTTCTACAATAAATTTTGAATCTAAAATTAATGCTAATAATGCTATATTCATCGAAGACCAATGAATAAATTCCATACGGAAAACATTAAGTGAGGAAATATTTATTGAGGCGAAAGGTTTCCTTAAGGAGAAAAATGATCATTTTTTCTCTATCGAAGTATTAACAGAATAGTCAAAATTGGATTCCTACTTTTTTACTGCAGCCTGCACACAGAATTAATTTTTGCAATGACTCGTTTTATGCTGGTCCTAAATCATAAATTAAATTAACTAATGAATTCTATCATTCTGCTTAAACTTAGAAAAAAGTCATTACTTTCAAATGATTTCATTGCTTGTGAATTGTTATTGTCACTAAAATGTCATTTTGTTGGTGCAAAAAGGTAATAAAATAATTGGCTATGCGAAGTCTTTAGAAATTTTTGTCACAATTTTTAATGTTTCCATTCATGATTAAAAGATGGTGCTTGTTCCCATTATTCATTTTTATAAAAATAAATTTTAGAGAAAAAAACCTTTGAAAAATTTTCGTTTAGACGTAATTTCAGTGCAAAAAGATCTATTTGCTGCTTGGTGTCAAAAAAATGCAATGACCCACATTTTTTGTTTTGATTGTCAATTAGTGTATTTATGTATATAAAGGAATTTATGTGATCTAAATGTGTGCAAAATTGCGTATTTTATAAATCACTATTTTAAGTGAATTTATGGGTCTTGAAGAGATTATCCGAGTTTTATATATAAGCGCCATCTGGTTACGGTTATTAGATTTATTCTTATATCAAAACAACGTTTGGCTCCAAAAATGTGGTTTACAAATTTTACTTGGTAGTGAGTATTTATATTATTTCAGTAATGCAGACTAGTGTATTGATTCAAATATATTTATTTATTGTTCGATTGCAGATTTTTTAAATGTCAATTCCTATCTCAGCGAGAAGGTTTTGTATAGAGGATATTAAGTTGCTTTACTGTAGTTTCCTAAATATACGCCAAGAATTAATTATCGAGTATTTTCGGAAGAAGCACCACACGCGAAATAAAATTACTCGCCTTTATTTTTATGGTGCTTAAATATACGAAAAATTTCTTGACCAACCGTCCATTCTCGAATAATTATTCTCGCGATTTGACGTTGAAGAGCCCATTCGCGATAATAAGTACACGCACAAAATAAGAAATCTTCAGAAAATAGGTAGGCCTGCAGAAGTTGATAAAATTAAACCCGATTTAGTATTATATAAAATCAGGTTCTTATGATTTGTGTAGTCTAGATATTCAATTATATGACTGGGTTGAGAATGTTTTACTCGCTGAGAAAAATCCGGGGTCGTTGGGTGCCCAGTATAACGTGTACATACCAAATTCTCCACAGTAAACCACCAAGTAAACCTGGGATAAGAGGGGATGAACGGACCCCCCTCAAACACTTTTACTTAACAACATTTTTTTTTTTTACTTTTTGGCAGTTCGTTTTCCCTGATAATACTCATTCCTTTCAAAAAGATTTCCTATAGAAATGACTGACATTATGTATTTTTTCATGGCAACTAAAATTAATTAGAAAAAAAATCAAATTGATACGACTGGTAAGGTTTATTCACAGTTTAATTCTGCTCCTCTCTTTATTTGGCTAGTATTTAATTAAATGCAAGCAAGTAATGAGCTGTATCATTTCATCAGTGAATCATATAATTAAACAATTATTGCTTTTTTTCGGTCAATACAATGATTTAGCCATCCTTGAAGTACAATATTCACCTCAGATCGATGGCTAAAACTTTGTATTGAGCTAAAAAACAGCAATAACTGTATAATATTCTGCATGGTTTGGTTACCAATTTTTCTTATATAGTTGGACAATTATTTGCCATATCCTATATGATTTGATAGGCTTTTATATGGTACACACACACACACACACACCCTCACACACACAACACCCTCACACACACACACACACACATACGTGTGAAGGGTGTCAAACGGGGACAGGGGTTAAAGACTGTCAAAATGGGGACTTCTTTATTTTTAATATTTCATTGACTTTTGACTTAAAATATCAATCACCATGTAACCCTGATGACAAATATAATGAGAACATATCAATATCTTTAATTTTAAGCTAAGCACATTTCACAGCACAAACGGGGACCTATTTCACACTCATTAATATTCACACACCAGTTCTTGTTTAATTGTATCTAAACGGGGACATTTTCCTAAACGAATAAAATCCTCTATTTTGCGCCTTTTATTCACTCATTACCACCGTTCTCATCACTGATTAAAACCCCTGTCTTCATAGGCACTTGAATGCTTACTATTTTAAATCAAATATGGAAATTACGAACAGTTATTGTATGATGAAAATATAGTTTTAATTTTTCTTTTCAAATAATATTGAAATTTAGGAATCTGTCTTAAATTTATCAATTTGGCATCACTGACCTCTTTGTCGCAGTGACATGCTTAATGGAATTTAAATATGGTGATTGCAAAATTGAGAGCTATTTGTTTTACATGTAATTTATGATTTTCAAAATTGTTAGTCTCAGAATTAGAGTATTGAACAAGAAAAATGATTGTCATTTGACATACTTACAACTATAAAAAAGATAAGACAAGGTCTGAAGGGGGCGCTGATAATACTACTCCAAAAAATGAACAATTTTAAAATGAAAAGAAAAAATTATATTGACCTTTTGATAATGATCAGCTATTGATATAATCAATAACCACTTTAAAATAAAATCCAATGCATTTACGTATACGCTTCATTACAGAATCGGAGTACGACGACTTCTTTAAAATATTTACATTACATTGCATCTTTAATCAGTTACTTTTATTTAAAAAAACATTAACTAAAAAATCTTTCAAAGCAAAGAATCGTACTCTAGAGCAGAATTTCCCCCCAAGGGGAATTCACACACCAGAACCTTACTCCTTGAAGTTCTCTCTTTCTCAGAGTAGGATCCACCATCCCTTGTCATATAAAGAGTCAATATAAACCACAGCCGTATTATAATAAAATAAACGACCAACAGATTTTTGAATGGTTAATGAGTGTTTTTCAATTTATGTACATTTAGGAAGTATATATTTCAAATCATCAAGCAAAATGTTTAGCTTTCAAAAGAGACGCAAATCTCCCCAGATTAGATGTATTAACACCTCCAATGGTTTTAGCGGTAAATGTATATTTTAAATGTTCTTTTTGATAAGGCTGTTTAAAGATTTTTTTCATAGAAAGTCCTTTATTTATGTATACTTTTTATTACTTATATTTTCCTTGAATCCAATGAACGGAAGAATTGTTTGAGTTCGTACTATGTGAAAACGAATTGATTATTTCATAAATAGTTAGTTATCTCCTTTTATTTTATACGTCTACTAATATTTTCCTCTATAAAAGTTACTCAGTTAAATGTGAATAATTCCCTAGAAATCTCTGCGAATGGACTAATCCCCGTGAGATAGTCAAATGATCTAATCCCTGCTTCGGAAGGTAATTCCCGGGTTATCTGTTATCTCTAGATTTTACTTTTATTTTGGTTCTAATATGTTAAGGGGCTAATCCTCATGCGTTAGTCCGGAAGCTAATCCCCGGTCATTCGTAATCCTTTTTCTTTGAGTGAACCATTGTCAACTAAGGCGCAGCCAAGGTCGCCAGATATTTCGAATGGTTTTCTTTGAGTGAAGCCCCGTGGGGATCCGGGTTAGAATAGGTCCTCAGTTACCCTTTGCTTGTCGTAAAAGGCGACTAAACGGGGCGGTCCTGCGTCACAGCAGGTGTGGCACGATAAAGATCCCTCCCTGCTCAAAGGCCGTAAGTGCCGAGCAAAGGCCTAAATTTGCAGCCCTTCACCGGCAATGGTAACGTCTCCATATCATTGAAATATTCTGGAGAGGGACATTAAACAGTATCAATCAATCATCTTTGAGTGAAAATGATCCTTTAGCCGCAGGTGTGAGACCGTATAAACCGAAGTCCCGTGTCGCAGTAGGTGCTGGCACAAAAAAAGATCCCTCACTGCTCAATGACCCTGGTTGCCGAGTGTAGGGCAAAGTTTGAAGCTCTCCACCGGAAAGTGGTTGCGTACGTCTACATATAAGTGAAAAGTTCTCCAGAGGAGTCAATCTATCAATTTCATGCAGTATATAATAACAGGTTTGTTATCATGTTAAGGACAGATGATCCAAACAAAAACTGATCGAATAGATGGGAATCTTTTCTTGGATCTTTTTTGGTTGTAAATGATTAAAAAAAAAAAAGATTTCAAAAATACATGTACTAAGAAATTTTAATTTACTTAGATGTTCAAATTTCCATCTTTCTGTAACTTTCCTTAATTTTCTACACATTTTTCTGTCACCTTAAATCCCATTAATAATTATCTTTCTAATATTTGATAAATAGAAAAAATTTTATTTAGCGTTGGGGCTAAGTTATGAAAAATTCTTAAGCTGTTCCGCTGCCAATAATCTTAAGGATTAACTTTATCACTGCGAAAAAATAAAAAAAATCATGAACAAGTAGATCCTTTTTTGACATATAAAAAGAGCACTAAATAATCAGTTGCATAACTATTCTTCAATTCAATTATCTCTTCATCATACATATTACAAACACATTTTAAGAACTCGAATCCGTTTATTTCTAGTTCTGTTATTCTTTCCTAAAAGTACGAAAGCCTACTAGGGTCAAATTAGAAAATGAAGAAAAAAAAATTAAGTCGTAATAACGACTTTTTATCTCGTAATAACGACTTTTTAACTCGTAATA